GAAAACTACCTAGTTGTTCACAGAGGCAAGGTACAAGGTCTGCCACTGGAAACTTCTAAATTAAATGCTGTGGTGTATGCTTTGCTTCTCTTTTATTACTGCAGAAAGACAATTAGGAATGGCAAGAAATAAATGCCCTAGGCATGCTGTGCTGATATCATCATCAAAAGTGGTTATTTTGCACAATGAGAATTAACTGTACTATGGATACCCAGAGAAAATGTACAATATCTTATGCTGATATGAAACAAAACAGACATGATATAGCTTTTTTTTGTACTTAAAACCTGTATGTTCCCTTCCCAAACTTAAGTAAAAAGCAAACCCACCCTTTTCCTCCTTTTACACAGAATAACGTTTAGGTTCCAACCCTCCCCTTTCAAATAAAGTGCGCTGTCCATGGCAGACCATAGGAGTAATGCAACAGGAAAAGCCCCTTTTAGTGTACTATTTAAAAAACAAACTGAAGTCGATTCAGCTTTCCTCTGGGTCTTGGGGAAGAGGAGAAGCTTAAGGGAGGGGGAAACACCCCTTCAGTGTCACTGTTGTTAATAGACATAGCCTTCGTTATAGGGGTGGGTGTTGCAGCAGCCTCCGTCCTGCATGTAGACCATGCTCTCATCAAAGTGGGACAGAGGCACAGTGTCCTCCTCATTGATGTGGCGCTCCATGTCAGTCTTCAGTAAGGGGCGCTGGTTGTCGGGAAAAGCCATGGAGAAAAGCGCTTCAGGGTCACAAACAAACTTGTAGACGTATCTTTCTCCAGCCACCTTAGGATAACAGAGGGGGGAAAAAAGTACAACGTAAGGCCTCATGTTTTGCATCTCCAAGTTCAACAGTCTTGTAAGAACTCGCCTTTCTAACACAATTAATAACATGACAGCAGAACTGGTAAGATAACAACCTAGCAAAGACAAGTGGGACCTGCCAAAGCAGACCGTGCAGAATGCTCTTGGTTTTGCCACTCATGACATCCTGTTGGAAGATTAGCTAAGTATTCTGCATCTAAACATTTGTTTGCTATCGTTTCCTATACTTAACCACAAATGGAACTGCTCTTATTGGAAAATGTAAACAAATTGTCACTACAGTGGCAAAATAAAATTACACACTCCATGTGCAAAGTGGAAAAAAGAATCACATTGCAGAGCAGAGATCTGGATTTCACTTTACACAGATTGATTCATGCTTACGTATAAAAGCACTTTAGTTATAGTGCCTGCTGACTGTACAGGGACAGCGTAAGCAAATACGTAGGCTAATATGTACTTAGCAATTGCTCATGCAAAGCTGGGACATTTGGATTTGCTTATGGAGGGGCAATTTGTCCAAAGATACTAAGGTTTCCCCTTAATCAGAAACAGCCTTAAATGTCTATGCTTCAATTTCCTAAAAGCTAGAGAATGATAAAAACAACACAAAATTGCTGTATTATTATAAGCAACAAACAGAAGTCAGTATAGTGTCTTCTCAAGTACCTTATTTAAAAAATTGTGCTTAAAAATATGCATTAGATTGTATGCTCACAATGTATTAAATGATTTTAAAATAAAATCATATTGTCTGGTTCTTGCAACTCTAGCTACCATAGCAATGAAGCAAGTTAGTGAAGAAGGAAAAAGTGCTGCAAACTTAACAACTCTCTTCTAATGGGTGCAAAATAGTTTCAAGCACTTCCTTAAACTTTCAGCTTATTTATTCTACAAATAGAATTTGGTAGAGACTGTATCTGCAGCAGAATTTTAAAAATCAAATTAATGTCAGCAGGCTTGATATACTAGAGGTTGCTAGCAGATTATGCAAAAGCCTGCAAAATCAGGCTTTTGCACAACCTGCTATCATTGTTGATTTAAAAAAAGGAGGGAAAATATGCACGCATCTACAACCTGCATTAGTTTTTAGCATAGATGGACTGGCCAGATAGAGTGATCCCAGGACAAACCTGAAACATTGCTGTCAGAAAAATAAGCATACAAGCTAGCTTTCAAAACATGTGTTAAACACATTCTTGTAGATAATAAAGTAGTAGTTTAGGATGTAGTAAGCTAGTTGTCCGAAGTACTTGTAAGGTTTCCACATTAAATGGATGTGTGGGTTGGGGCAGCATTATCAGCCTTCTGGTATTTCTATCCCGACCTTTTCAACTTGCTTCACTCTGCTACATTTTTTTTGCCTCTGCTGCCTTTGGAGTGTGCTGGCAGCACAGATGCCTGTGCTGCTGAGCTGTAACCTGCAACAAGGAACTCCTCTGCCTGAAGCAACAGTCAGCAAAACCAAGCAATTCTGCTTCTCCCTGATCAGACCCAGTCTCCAATCCACTTTACAAAGACTCTACGCACACAAAAATGGATGAGGTGCTGAGCTACTGAAGAACTGTAAGCCAATACTAGCCCAGATTGTTGTCCCAGTTGACTACTAGTAGTGAAAAAGGAGTGCACTACAACAATCCCATAACCTAAGAAAGAGAACTTTTCAGACTTCACAAAACCTACCAGAAATGTTGCCCAGTAACTTGAGCTGAAAGCGCTGTTTCCATTCATGGAATTGTCATATAACAAGTTTAAACATGTTCATCATCACTGGTCACAAGACCAATGTGAAAAGACAAGGAATAGGTTTTGCAGTCCAAGGTGTTTATTATGATCTTTGATCACACCTGGCAGTTTTGTAGATACAGCAGACTGGCCCCTCCTATTGATTCCTCAGTCAATCTACATGGTACTACACAGCAAGATTTAAAAATCAGCAAGCCACAGTAGGAGAATGGATTGAATACTGTCAGCAAGACTAGCCCATAATATATAAATTATTGTTAAATAGTACTCCTAATTCAGTCTATTATAAATATTAAATTCCATTCAAAACCAGTATTAGTACAACACTATTGGCAAAAATATTAATGTACTTGGTATGTTAATAGGCATAATTATTCTCCCCTATCTTGCACTTACTAAAGTACCCAAGCACTGGGCAGCTAATTTAGATCTGCAAAACATTAATCATACTGTACTCTACCGTTTGCCTTTTCCAGCTGCCAGGAAGCTCTTTTGGATATTTTTGAATGCTACTTCTTTCCTTATAATTATGAAATGCTTTGTGTGAACTAAAACCACAGACATTTTTTACATCGGAAAAAAAAATATCTTAATGCATATGCCAGACCTAGTAGGTCCAAAAGCTTTGTGTTTGCCTAAACAGATGAAAAAACCACCTAAGCCATGCAATTACAAGAACTCCTTGTAAACTGACCTATGGATTAATATGCAAGATTCTGGTAAAATGTAATACAAAATTAGCTACTCACCTTTTGCATGATTCCCTTTTCATAATAATAGCGAAGTGATCGGCTAAGTTTATCATAGTTCATAGCTGGCCTGTTTTTCTGAATCCCCCAGCGACGTGCCACCTGCCACAAAAATGGATTAGCAATGATTTGTTAAATGCATTTAACAAGCAGATCTTATCAAGAAATACTTTATTTGGAGATGCAGGAGGGAAAACCCTGCAGGTGCAACAAACAGGAAAAGGTTGCCATGACCTGAATTTCCCATGTATTACTATGAATTTTAATTTGATGTACATCATTCATTAAACTTGTAACAGACATGTTGGACAAGGTGGTGGAGGGTTAGGGTTTTTCTTTGTTTTTCAATAAAGAAAATCAATGAAAAAATAAAGCCAAGCAAAGAGATGATGAACAAAAAACATTAGCAAGTTCCACTGGTAAACTTTTACAAAACCTTGCTTCTATTTGATACTACTCATAATTGCACTGTGTCTGTCTTTTCCTTGCTGTCAGAAAAACACACATGCATACACACTTAGTTCATGAACTAATACACACTGTATTTGGAATGACGGCAGTGTTGTAATTATTAGGAGATAAAAGTCAAAAGACAACTCCCAGTCTTGAACATTACTTCAGCAAAAAAAAAAAAAAAAAATTATCTAAGGAGGGAGAATAATCACTTGGAAGAACTATATGGTGGTATGAAGAATGGAACAGAAATTTCATCATTTCAGCTATATAATTTCTCTTAAAAATAACACTAAAAAGTGAATTGCAAGTAACTCATGAAACTATTCCATAGAGAATGATATGCCTTCTGCTCTGACTTATGTTTTCTGCTTGACTTTATGCTTCCTGTTTTATTGCTAAAGATAGTTTTGGACAAAGCGACCCTTTGTTTAAAGAGCTTAACTTCTTATTCCTTGCCTGAAATTTAATTGGCTATTGGTGACATTTCAATTACTGTCTGTAAAAATGACTATAATATCACCTCAGGGAAAAAAAGGCAGAACGGATGAACTCTTTAAAGCACATTTTATAAAAATGATTGAGAGGTGCATATGCATACAGCTCTGGAAAAAGGACAGAGTAGCCAAGCAGTTTCTCTGCAGACTGCTCTGTGAAACTTCCCATAGGTGTCTGGATTTTTTTGATGCAAGCCATGACAACATGCAGCACTGAGCAAAATCTATTATTTTGGTGTCCACCTGGACAATAATTTCTAAAATTTCTTTTGAAAGCATTATTTCCCTTCAGTGGTGCAGCTTTTCAGGCTTATGTAAATTATCACAGCTCTGCCAACTTCAGATACATTTTAGCTGTATTGAAACACACCTCCAATCACGTAAATTTATTCCATCTGCAGATTTGGCCTAGATGTCTAACTTTGATTCACCTACTCATTTTTGTAACACATTACCACATCACTCCTTTTTTATTCATTCCAAGTTTTTTTTTTTTCTGCATTAATCAGAGTCCTAAAAGTCCCCAGTATAACAGGCTTGCAAAATAAATAAATACACAGCAAATATAAACAACAAGTAATGGTGAAGAACATTACATTGTGTGGTATTTTGAGATTCCTAAACAAGCAATCAGGTCCAGTTCCCATCTCCAAACTGCACTGCATTTACCTAGTCCTGCTCTATGGAAGGGATTCCACCCTTCTACCCTACCTTCCTGATGAAGGCTGCTGTCTCTGTGACAAGCCTGAATACATGGACCTATGTCCAATTCTCAGGCTCCACAGTTCACAGTTACTTCCTGAATGAACTGTGGCACTCCAGGAAGCCAATACACATTCCTTTTTGTTGTCACTCTTTCTATGAGGGCATAAACCTCCAGTAAGGAATGGATGGAGAGGTCATGTCACTGACATCCTAGTTTGCCACAGCAGAACCAACAAGGTCTTTGATTTCCCTTCAATTTATACTTGGCAACCAACAGAATTGTGTGACTTCCCATAGGCTATTCTTATTTTAATTGACTGTTTCTGTCAGATTCATGACATTCATATGAAAACAACTTAGTCTCCTTTGTACTCCTAGGAACACACAGAGTGAGGCAAGCTTCAAGCCTCCTCCAGATCTTGGATGCAATGCTGCTCAAAAACACAAAGCAACTTTAACATAGCCAGACATGCAGATGATCTGTTTAACTTAAATTAGAATATCCAGATCTTCAGGGAATTACACAATAAGGAAACCTTAGTAGTTTGTTACTTTCCTTTCCTTAGTTAATAAAATCTATAAAGTTTTTGCACCATCTGCTGGAAACCGTTTCTCAATAAAACCCTTCAATCTTGAAGGAAATTTGACTTACCTCAAAGACAAGACAAAACTAAAAGAGTAAAAAATATGAGACTAAGGTAGGGGGAAAAAATCATATGCATCATTCACCAAAAGAAAACAAAAGACTTTCCGAAGATTTTTGCTCTGTTCCAGGACAGGTTACACAACTAAGGAATCTATCTAGTCTGCTAAGGCTACAGGCTTGCAGCAAAGTTTCAGTATCATATCGACTAAGAATGTTCTGAGTTCAAATCCTCAGATACACAATGTCAGGATCTGCAGTAGTAACTATCACTAGAGCAAGGGATGCTCAGACAAACGAGAGCCAGCACCAGGTCCTCGCAGCAATCTGCTCCTCAGCCAGACCACATTGGGAAGGAAAGGGACATCAGTCCTGACACCAGCCCCAACTGCTCCAGCATCTCCACAGAGCAGATAGCAGACAATGTAAGCAAGTAACATGCAAGAAAGCTTTCAGACTGCTAATTCCAGAAGATAGATGGCAAAAAGCATAAATAGCTGGTGGAATGCAGAAGCAGCCATACACCCCCGAGCCTTCCCACTCAGCTCTAACTTGGAAGGGATGCTGTCAGAAAATTTGCTGTGGTCTTCTCTGTTAGAAAACTCTATTCAAGGGGTAAAAAAAGTAAAGCAGAATGAAGTAAAGCAGAATGATACTGCCTTTTGACAACCCTAATTAAATCCTCCACTTAAACTTTACTACGAAATTTACATACACCTGATCTTCCAACAGTTTCTATGATAGTTCAGAATGCAGGTTAGGTTACAGAACATTACCTAGTCCAGTTTATTCCTGTTTATAAATTCAATTTATTCCTGTTTATCACACAAGTGAACTAAGACACGCTTCAGCAAATGTTCATGAATATAAGTAGTTTTATCTACTCCACGGTTTAGAAGAGCCATGCACGTACATGAGCATCTGCAGGCCTAGGATCTAAGCCTGTACTAAGCAATCTAATGATTCAATCTAATGAATCTAATATTTGGTGTTGAAAGACTAGTTAGGGACAATTTTTCAAAGGATTTTGGGATACAATTATGTCCACAAAGTGATTCTGAAAAATGTAGACCCCACAATTAATGCAAACTATTTACTAACTCTAGTACTTGCAACATTTTTATTATTTTGTAGGACTAGGAGTCAAATCTATTCTTAACCACACCCCTGTTCTAACTGAAGCACTTCCCTTGCCACTCCTTTCTGTCACCATTCTAAAGCACTACTGAGGCAAAATACTGAAGGAAAACAAGGCCTAAGTCCAAAGGAGCACAGTTCAGTTCGCAGGACAGGGCAGTGGATGTGGGCCATGCTGTCTGTCTAACTCACCTCCTCTGGCTCAATCAGCTTGAACTCCATGCCTCGGCCAGTCCATGCAATGAAGTGAGAGTTTGATGGGTCGTCCAGGAGAGCTACCAAGAACTGCCAGAGCTGAAGCGAGCCTCGCCGTTGATACGTGGGTCCTTCGCGATACATGCCTGGCTCCTGTTTGACATCACCTGCACACAACAGCAACAATGCTGGAGAAGCAATGCCTGGGAACACCATCACTCAGTTTGTCAGATACGTTGGCAAAGCAATCATTAGGGGTAAAAAGACAGAGGGAAGAATCAGCCACCCTCAAATGCAACATTCCCGTTTGCTGGGGACTTATAATAACATATTAATATACTAAAGAGCACTTAAATTAATTCATGATTTATGGAAGTCTCACTAAGTCTCTCCTCATATAGGTTTGATAAAGGCAAATGTTTTGCAAACCATTTTGTAATATGCTCTCTTTGAAAGCACATAAACTATCTTTGAAGCAACTGTGATATGTGAAGAACGTGTTTGTGTACTATACTTTGCACAGGCCCCAGTTTTGGTAAAGTAACATAGGCTTCATAAGGTGCAAAACCCTATTGAGTGAAACTTTTCTTGCATGCAAATGCTTCTGAAGAAATTTTGACAAAGTATTTGACTTGGACTTAAACAGCATGTGCTTTATGTATAGGCATGTAAATCCTGCAGATACGTGAGCTCCTCTGTGGAATATTGGACTTGCATATCAGCAAAAATTACTTTTACTCATACCTACATACTAAATGAGTATTCCCTCTGAAAAGCAGTAAGTTAATTTTTCTAAAATTTTAAGTCTAGAAAAACATTTTAAAAAATATCAGTAACATTCTACTAGCTGTTCCACAAATTGCCAATGAGAAAACAACCCTGTTACATCCATACTGTCTTTGTTGTTTTTAAATCATATTTATAATGAACAACTCATGCAAACAACAACAGCTGAAAGGTCTGATGCTGAAGCAGACAGTATTTTTTTTCTCCACACAAGGACTGCAATCCTAGATATACTGGTAAATTCCTCATTTCAACTATCAGAACAGCAAAAGCCTCCAATAAACAGTGTGACCTGTTTAATAAGGAAAGTCAGAAATTTAAATTCAACCACAAAGGATGCTCTGACAGCCATTACAGAATGGCTCTGTGCAGTGAAAGGCAGAATAATAATATTAAAAACTGAGCACTTCCTTTTGTAATCAGGAAAGAAAATTGACTCAATAGCTGTGGAAAACAAATAAATCAACACAAGGCTTTTTGGTTTATGTGAGGTTCAAGTTCCAGTTCTGAAAGTCCTTCTTTTTCAAGGACAGGTTTTTTCTTTGTAACGATAGCTGTGCAATGTGCAAATAGCAAGCGCATATTACACAGGATCAAATTCTTTCCTTATGCTGATCTTTGATTTCAAATGAAGCAGCTGAGAATCTACTTCTGAAACATCAAGACTAGTCCTGGGCTTATCCACCTTTTGCTTTATTGCCCAGAATATGATGACACATCTGCTATTTTTCCCTCAAAACATCATGCTGCAAGCATAAACACACCTATCTGCATCACAAGATCTATCTTCTAGAGTACAAGGTGTTTCCTCAAGGGGCAGTCATTGAAACTAGCAGCAGACTGCTTGCTTTGCAGGCATAAAAATACTTCTTAACATTTAATTATTTTACTGTATCTATATTTCTTTTTCATTTTCATTCCCTTTCTTGTATAATACCCAAATTACCCAAAGGTTTTTCAAAGATGACATAGACAAATACTACTGTTAACAAATTTTAACTTCTTGTTGTACAGGGTCTGATCCCATTCCCATAAATGTACACATAAATCTGACACATGGATCTGGTGCTCAGATCAGATCCACAATCATTTCTGGGGAACAAAAAAAATATCTGACATGATGTGCTTTGAAAAAAATGTTAAAAAATCCAAACAAGCTCACATTACAAAGCCAGGGTATAAAGTAGACTTTCAATAAAACACTTTCTTTGACTGTGTCAATGCAGTAACAATTTAATACTGGATTGAGCAGTCTTCAGTTAGGTCTAATATTGTCTAAAACTCTTTTATCTATTTCTTACCAACATAAAAATACATGTGATACTCTGAAGAATGTACAATTCTCTGGGTTACTTTCATTTCAGAGTCTCCAGATTCTCAGCAAATACAAAAAATGCTGCTAAACATGCAATAGTTTTGTAATCCCCAAGCGAGTTTCAGGACAAAACAGACAAAACAAAGTAGGAGAAAACCACCAATTCTACAGCCCTACTTTTAGCTGTGGTCAAAGATTTGTTCACAAAGATTTGTTATCTGGAAATACCTAATCTTTCCTGCTGAAATAAATAAAGCCAGATATACAGACACTAACACAAAAGCTACACCAACAACACTATGCTCATATGCATCCACTAACATAATGCCATTCTAGCAAATTTGATTAATTGGTCTCTAAATTACTTCCCAAAGTTGGAGACTGACAGAGTCACTGGCAAGAAATACCGTGTCCATCTACTTTGCTTCTAATGAAATAAATCTGAAATCAACTGAGTTACACCAGGAAACTGATTTTACGTCAGAGTAACTGAGGATAATTTGGACCATTCATTTTAATTGACCTCAGAATTCCTCTTAAAAAAATCTGCTGTAATTGGTAGTGTTGTGAACAGAGCATTGATTTGTTATCAATCCCACTGAAAAATAAACCACTAGAGCATTCAACCTAGTGCAAACACATTGGCATAAACACAAAAAATGCCCTTTATTCTCACTTCCCACTATTCATCACTTCGAAGACAGCAAGACAAGAGGCCTAGTCCTCAGTAAAACCAAAGCTGCTGTTTTCTCCACTGTTTTGTTAATTATAAGTACAGCTTTCATTACATCTGAAACAACAAGTAGTATGTGAACATCAGTGCAATGGAAATCCTCTTATTACTTCTCAACAGTACAGAACTGAGCTCCTCTGCCACAAGTCTGGATACAGCATCTTTTGCTGGCAAAAGTCAAACGACATCCTGTTGAAGAGACTTTGGTTTCAAGAGACAAAGGTCAGCTTTGGTTGGGTGCACCACAAATGGTGTGTTAAGGAATCTTAAATTGGAGCATTACCAGGATTTTTTGATCAGCAAGAGAGAAAAGTCCCTCATCTCTTTCTTTTTCTTCTCCCTACACAGGAAAAAGAGATGTGTCATACGTACCATCAAACTTCTCTGGAACAACGCAAGTGTCATCATAAAACTGCCTAGGTCCTTTTTCATACATACAGCCTGTAAGTTAAAAAGAGAGAGGTATTTATATAAAAGATGCATGGAGAAAAAAGAGATCACAGGCTTAATGCCAGAGGGAACACTGAGTTACACAGGAATCAGATTAATATCCCACATCCTTTAGACACCGCCCAATCCCAATATTTTGGCCTAAGTACAAGGGTGTTTAATTAACATATGCATTCCCAAAAGACTGTTTATCACCACCTGCTAAAATGAAAAAGCACCCATTTCTCTCTATGATTTATTACAAAATGTTTGCTCATTTCCTGTTTGAACTAGCATGGCTTTGACATTTAACCATTAGTTCCTGCAGGTCTTCTCTCTGCAAGACTCAGTATTTCCTCCTCACACCCACACAGGTCACCCTCACACACTGCTCTTGATGTTCCTTTCAATTAAGATCATTTTGTAATATTTTATTTTGTCATTAAAAGACATTGTCTACAGCCCAGCAGCTTTTCTAGCACAACTTTCTGTACACGTTCCTACTATTTCCTATTATGCTCATGTTTTGCTTAACCAGAACTGTATTGCATATTGATTATCAGTTTCTCCAGTGCTACTGAGTGAGACAAAACATTTCCTCCTCTCCTGTTGCCCTCTGACCCTCCTTTTGACTACCTAAGTATTACAGAAGGCTTTTTGCTTTAAGGTTACCGTGCTCAGTTGGGCTGGTTTCCCACTGTGAAGCTGAGGAGGAGGCCCACCTCAAAATCCTTTTTCCCAATATATTGTTTCCCTGTTCCACAGGCCTAGTCTATATTCATGTATTAAAAAAACCCATTTTGTTAAATGTGCCCAGATAATCAAACAATTCAAACTGCTTTGTGTGACTGGCCTGACATGCCCATTATTTACTGCTCTATCTTTGTGCCATAAAGTTATCTATTAACTTTGTTCCATATCTTTACTGAAAGTATTGAATAGCGACACTCCTGATATCAATTCCTACAGAACTATAATCCATTCAAAGATGATTGCCTAGTGACAGCCTCTTTTAGATCTGTCAGTTGGCCAGGTCTTAATGTATTTAATGTGCACTTTATTGATATTGCTTTGTGCTAACTTCTTAATCAGAATGTAATGCAGAGGCAAACTGAATGCCATAAAAAGTCAAACTATACAATACAAGCATCTTTATCAATCAAACCTTTATTTTCAGTAAAGAACAGAATCAGATTTGACATGACCTTTATTCTGTAAAATTACGTTGATTGATTTCCAAATACAGAAAACAAATATTTAGCTAACATCACTGCTTTTTTACGTCATTCATGAAGATTCAGCCACCTCCAACTCCTAACAAGACCGTAACACGGATAACATGGGTTTTTCCCTATCTGTGCTATGAATAAAACTCAAAATCTTTTGCCCTTATCCCTGCAGTTCATAATTCATATAATTTTATATAACAAGACTTAGAAATTTCCATCTCCTGTTTTACCTTCCTTGTTAACACTATCTTTTTTCTTTTTCTGTCTTTATTTCAACCCAGAAGCAGATGGGATTTTAGCCAGATGTGTTATCTTTTTGATTTTATCTTTACACTAGCAAATGAAGTCTTCCTGGAAGACTTTGATTCTCATGTCTGTCTGGATTCTCATCAATCTCAAAACTAGATTCCTTGTTTCTGAAATTTGCCCACTGGAAGAAAAATAAACCCTAAACATACAAGAAGAAAATAATATATTGCTAAGACTAAGATAAACTGAAACAGGAGAGTGGAGGCTATAGCCTCTCTTTCACAGTCATCTTAGTTCTGTTGGACTTCACTAGTACATATAAAGTGCTGTCACTCAGAATTATTCATTTTGGCAGTTATGTAAGCTCTGTCCTACTGAAATCATTGGCAATTTTGGTATGTCTTAATTTGGGCATAAAGTGCATCAAACAGTTGCAAAAACAATAACAAAAGGAAAACCCCAAAACCTTCACTAAATTTAACATATAAAATGGATTACTTAACACAGTTAAGTGAGCCTGTCATGCTAACAGCCTGGAAAGTATCACTTAAGCAGAATGGGTAAAACAAATTTTTAAGCATGTCTTCCTTTCAACTGCTAGAGGCCTTGAAAAGCAGAATGAGTTAAGTTCATAATATAATTGCTTCTAACCTGATCAACTCATGACACTAAAAGAAACTACAAAAAATTCAGTGCCATCAGAAACTGAACACTGAAAACAGAAAGAAGGATGATGCAAGTCTTACCAGCCCCAGAATTAAACCAGTGATCCCCAGATACGCCCAGGCTTTTATTTTTTTTTTTACATTTCTCTCATACAAAAGTGATACATAATAGAAAACTTAACTTCTGTTCTGTTTGGGTGAGCCAGGAAGCCTTCTTGCCTCATGTAAATGGAATGGCAGCTAGGCACTTCTGGAAGGAGAAGATGACAATTCAAGTCAAGACTGGAATTAAAAATGTGCAGGTTATCAATGGAACAAGCTACAAGCAGAACAGCAACATGAAAGGATGCAATCTATAGTGAGAGGGGCCTGTCAACACACAGCATTTCATAGCAGCACACATATTCACCACACACGGCCAGGGAGAAAGTTGTGATGTGAGGCTCAGAGATCCTATCTACAATAGGCACTTGAACTCCAAACCTCTTGTAATCAACTTTCCTAAAAGCTGACTCCCATGTCAATTACACTTTGGACCATTCACCAAAAAATCCTTCACCAGTGACCATGAATATTTTAACCCTGTGTTTGTATATCTAACTTTGTAGATAATTCAAACCAAATTTTTTAATCAATTGCACTGAAAAGACTGCCAGTCACACTGGTGACTTACAAACACTACATTTACACAAGGAATGTCAAAGTGAATTTAGGGTAGATAATGCTTTTTAGACTCTGGTTAAGGACTTGAAGGGTTAATGAAATTTTCTGCAGTTGCTAATAATTTTATCCAGAAATTTAGGTCTATCTGTATCACTCTCCACTTTAAAACAAAACCCATTTTAAAACATTTGGATTTAAAACAAAACTCTCCATTTTAAAACAAAAATGACATCTTCCCCCCAAAAAAATACTGTGCATATTCTAAGCAATATTGATATTTATTTGCTATTCTCCACCTCTACTCAAATCTGCAGGAAGAATGAGAAAAGCCAAATAGAACTAACGAAAAATGTATTTTTAAATGTCTTTTTTTTACTTCCCTGTGTCTTGCACTGTCCCCAAGTAGTCAAATCCTGTGCACAGGGACTTGCAAACAGAAACACACCGTAAATGTTTGCCCTTCTAGACCATGTTTAACCTACTTCTTGGGTATCACACGTCTTGCTTAACACAGTCTATTTGATCTTGCGATGAACTCCTACCCTAAGCTATGCAATCTGTTACCAGTAACTTGTAACTCTTAAAGAGATGCAAACAGAGGTCAAAAGAGCAGACATTATTTTTCCAACACCGCCTACAGACTCTTTCAGACTGTGATTCCAAATTTCACTGTTCACTGACTAGTGATGAGTATCAAAGATTTGGCAGGATAAGAAAATGAGGTTTTACACTGACTTCACAAACAAGCGAAACACAGGGCAGTAATAATAATAGGTTTCCTCCAACAGGCCAAGATCTCTCTTGCACATCTGTAAAAATTCTTCACTACCTCCTCTCTTGATAAAATGCTCGCTGCCTGCCTCCTCAGGCCTAGAGAATCTCTAATGTTTCAGGCAGCTATTCTGAGCAACCACAGGAATCAGTGACTCAATGATCACCCCAGTCAAGTATAGCTCTGCAGACTAGAAGTCAAGGCTACAAGCAGTGCTTCACCTGAAAGGAATCATTCATGTTAGCAAGTAGATTGGATTCTAAGAAGAATGGAAAAATCTACGTAAAAAAGAGGAAGCTGTAGAACTGAAACAGATGCTATTTTCTATTTTAGGTAAAACTTCTCTAGTATTGGCAGCAAAGCCCTTTTTGACTCATGAACTCCACTTCTGCAAAGTGATAGACCAGAGTATACTGAATAAAGAATTATGCATGCTTCCACAAAGTTGTATTCTTAGCCAAGTTGGGGTTTCATCTCCCATGCTCCTAAGTCAATTTTAATTAATATCTGGAGTCTCTTTAAGGCAAGTATTGTTTATACCAACATTACTTAATCTTATGGTTAGCTTGCGCTTAAACCAAAAAAATACAACAACGAAGAGTTTATTTCTCGTAAAGTAACTAGAGTCTTGTTATCCTAAAGTGCTATCAGTTAATTTATGACTATCAGAGTGGGTCAGACTCTAATCAAATTGTAGAAACATTTCCAAAGTGATTATTCAATCAAATGACTAACATGGTTAATTAGGAGCCATAAACATTGCTCTGAAGTTCATCAAAGTAATGACTTGCCCAGAAAAATTACTGCTAATTAAATTGCCTGCTGATTTCATTTCTACCTTATCTAATAAAAAGTCCAACCAATGAAATTTAGTATTGCAGTTTTAAATTGTACTAAATGCTTGACTAAGACCCAGAAGTATTTTTACATGCTAAGTGGAGCTACTTCAAAAGAAAACATTTTAGTGTAGAAATTACAGAGCAATTATATGTTTTCTTCCCTTTAAACCATTGTTTCAAGACAACAAATAAGACAGAAGCAGGCATGAAATACTTCCAGAGCAAGATCCAAGTATTTGAGATGACTGATTTATCATCTTTTTGCAAGTTTTGGTCTTTGAAGAAAAATGTGCCTGGATTTAGACATGCAACAAGCTTATTTCAGACTGTTAATGAAGTAATTCAAATTGTAAGGTTACATCAGCTCAAGAATAGCAGAACACTTTTTTACCAAAACAAAAAACTAGCTAAAAATATGGAAATGTAAGAAAAAATATAATTTTTAATTATTCTTTTGGAAAACTTAGCGGTCATTCTTAATTGCTCTTCTTATTAGCAGAAATATATTAGCTATGTTAAAAAATGAATATGGTCTTATATCATAGACCATGAAAGCATTCCTTCCCCAACAGGTGCTGTTTTAAAAAATACATGTAATCTAGACACTGCTAAAATGCCTTCTCATCCAGGACCATCACAGAAAAAAACAAGGAAACAAGCTGTGCTATGCCTCCATCAAAATATATCTAAGCAGAAACACTGCAAACAGACTTTCTCAGGACAAGAAAAATCTGCTATTGAACTTAGCAGGCACAGATTCTAAGTTTCATTATCAAGTAAGACACTTGAGTGGTCCCTTGGTAAGGTAATTCATATTAATTATCATGTCAGAATTTAAGGAGTTAGGTTGTCTCAGCCCTATATAACTCAGAGCAGGTAAAGAATCCTTAAATCCTCTTTTCTGATTGTTTTTCAGAGATAAGGATGAGATTTCATTCCTACAATCTCACCCTGCAGAGAAAAAAACAGAATTTCAGCTGGTGTCCCTAGCCAGAATAGACACAGGAAAAATGGAGTTTCTCTAGGCAAAGGGATGAAATGACAAGACTGTATTCTATGGGATGAAGTGACTGACTGTCTTATTCTGAATGAAGAAAGCAGGAACTGGAAACCTGAACCAGGATTTATTCTTCAGCCGTTGTTGTTTCTGACTTTACACAACCTCCCTAACTGAAGGGCAGGTTGTTACGTTACATTCTAACTCTGAATTACTTTTCAGTTCACTTTATCAACATCAGCTGGAGATCTGGAGGCCCAAGGCACACCCCATGGGCTGGTGACAAGGCACAGTGTGATACAGAGGCACTGCACTGTACATGTGCATATGCAGAGGGAGGAAAGTGGAGATGGAGCCTTAGAAGGCACAGGCCATCTGAAATAGGGTGGGAGGAAGAGGGAACTACCTGCCTGGCCTCACCTTCCATGTGGCAGCTCAGGTGGAAACTGTGCTGCACTGGCAGGCAGGTGGCTTAGTCAGGGAGCCTGTTAACAAGTCAATCAAATTCACCAAACACTCAACTCACAGTGAAACATGCCTTCTTCCCTAAAGGTTAAAACAAAGTGATGATAATAAGATTGGAACCTTCTTACTGTTTTCTTGCCCACTTTTCCACTTACACTTTATTACCAAGTAAGCCATATTAGGAGCAGATTCCATAAGGAACTGTTTCAAAAGGAGCTGTTCCCCAAAACTTTGAAAGGACTTCACTGGAAATCCTGCAATTTTGCTTATACCATGACCTTCTAAATTGTCGTTTTGGACTGAAAAGTAATTATGTGAATTTTGGCCCCTATTTCATTAATTCAGAGTTTGTGTGTCTATACAGATGGACTTAAATGTGCCATTTTGTCTCCCCATAGACAAGAAATGCAGCACATGCAGATTCTCTCCTATTGCGCTACTGGGTACAGCAGGGCACATGCAAGTCCCTCAGGTAGCTGGGACAAACCTGGTGTCACTCCCATGTGCCAGGCTGAGCCTGTGAACACACCAGCCATCTCTTTGGTGCCTTTCAGAGCTTCCCTTGCACAGTACAAGCACTTCTCTGCTACATGAGCAAGTGGTTGCTGTACTGGAAGAGATTTCTACCAAGTGCAGGCACAAAAGTAGCCTTTTAAAAACAAAATGTTCAAACTAGAACCCATCATACTTTTGGCATTACACTTAAAACATCACACTATCACTGCAAATGACTTTTCTGTTCACAGATTTCCAAGAGCACTGACAAACAGTTTACAAAGGAACACTTCATCCACCACTGAAACACATTCAGCCTCTTGGTGGAAAGCAGCTGTTTGCAACATCATTGAGAAGTTCTGACCAGCTCAAGGGTGAAGATAGTAGTGAAATCATCAGAAAACAGGACCTTTTTAGGGAAGAACAGCAGTTCTTCAAACAAGGTCGCAACAAATTGCTCAGGTAGCACCAGGAGCCATTAAGAAAAATGCATGATTTGTGTTTTCCAGGGAGAAGTAAAACATTATTCTCTTGGATTTTTAAACCTGCAGAACACATTTAGATTCAAACTTGTATCTTTCCAAAAAGCAGATATTCAGGTGAAAATACTGGAACTAATTACAAACACCTTATACAGGAATTGCTTGAACAATTGATCCATTACTCAAATGCTGGTGGATCAAGTTTTAGTTCAACCACCTTTAAAAGCTTTATCCTCTCACAAGCTATGTAATGAACAGAGTTCTACAAACTGGTGAAGTCCTGGCAATACAAAAGTCAGTATTTTTTTCAGTAGCAGATGCAGCATGAAAAAATGTAAGTGCACTGAAAGCACACAGGTGAAAACAGATAAAAATTCTCTAAAAATAAATTAAAAATTAAGAAATATTTCCAGAAATCATTATGCAATTTAGATACATTCAGAATGGAAGGTTTTATTCATTTTCCCTGTCACCAGCCATTGTGCCAGAAATCTAGGGGAAAAAAAACAAACTTAAAAGAAGGTGCACTCATAGATA